CCACCGCGGCTCAGCCTGGGCTGGTGTGAAATCGCAGCACAACTCGGGGAAAGGCTCTGGAGGAGCTCAAAGCCTCTGGGACTTCTGGCCTGGCCTTCCCTTCTGCCCGAGGTCACTCTGCTGTTGGTGGCTCCACAGCCCAGAGCCAGGAGTGACCCCGGCGTGTCCCTGTCCCTAACACTGCCCTGGGACAGCCCCTTGGCATCGCTGCTGTGCCAGGCTGGGGGGATCAGGGGTGTGCCCACCTGAGCACCCCCCGGGGCAGTGCTGGGTGACCCTGCTGCTCCAGAGCTGCAGCGTTCCCTGGAACTGAGATCTGCTCACAAACTACCCCAAAATCTGAACTCCTTGGAGCAGGGCAAGCCTGGGGCGTCCAAGCAGAGCTGCAGTTCCCAGTCCCAGCCCCAGTACCTGCCAGACTGGGGGAGGCTGCTGGAGCTCCTTATGTAACCTGCTCCAGCCAGGACAGATGCCTCTGCAGAGCTCGAGCCAGCTCTGCAGTCTGTGTTCAAAGGGAAGGGAGAAGCATTCCCTTTGGAAACAGAAAGGTGTCTTGGAGCTTTTCATCACCCTCGTTTCGCTTCCAGCCATCTCCAGCATTCACTCATGTTCGGAGACTCTTCCAGTTCCCTGTGACCTTTTTCTTGGAGTGATGGAATGAATTATTATCACTTTTCTTACAGAGAGATGAGAAATCCAACAGGGGAGTGTGTTTACTCTAGAGGGATGGCAGGAGATGAGGACACTTGAACCTTTCCATGAGACTGGTCCCTGCTCGGCTTCCTCTGTGTGGTGACTGCCACAGCTCTTGGCAAGGCAGGGCTGACAGCCTCAGCTCCTGAGCACCTGCAGCTGGGGTTGGGATGTAGGAGGCTGTGGAGAATCCTGCCATGGGTGGCTGGCGTGGCCCTTTTGCCATGGTACATCTCCAGAAACTGCAGACCTGATAGGAGAAATGCTTACAGTGTCAGGAAAGACCTGTGGGTCACCAGGTCCTGCTCTGGAAGTTCTGGCAGCCCTGGAAATGAAGTGGTTTGTGAGAGCTCAGCTTTGCACGGCTCCTGGGGTTTGTGTGAGGGCAGCATGTGCAGTGCAGCTGCTGTGGCAGCTCAGGCTCCTGCTCCAGGGGATGTGGTGCTTCCCAGGAATGCACATTACCCAGGCAGGGAGCAGCAGGCTTCCATTTGCATTCAGCCCACAGCGTGGCTGTGCTGCCAAGGAGCTGCCTGTGGTGCAGATGAGAGGAGTGAGATCTCGGAGGAAGCAGGGGGATGAGCTGCCCTTGTCACCTGCAATCAGTATTTACATCCCACTCAGTCCTTGTTCCACGTGCCAGGCCCAGGCAGCAGAGCTGTGCTCCTGGTGAGGCCCTGCAGGGAGCTCCCAGTGCAGCCCAGCACAGCCTGAGGGGCCCTGGAGCAGCCCAGGCCCTGCTGAGAGAGCTGCCCTTGCTGCTGGCACAGGTCAGAGCCCTCCCTGGGGCAGCCTGCTCATTCCCAGCTCCCTGTGCCC